TCTGAGATCTGACAAGATTGGGCTTGCCTGGGCTATCCAGGTCAAGGCAAGAAGGACTGAAAATGTGATGAGTTTGCAAACTCAAGGCAACCACCCCTTCGCTTTATGTCTTAATGTTGCATTCACGTTTGAAGTTACATCCCCCAGCTCACCACCTCTAGGGCCACTCCTAGCAGAAGCTAAGTTTTCTTTTTCCTTTGGGACCCATCATGGAGCTGGCCATGGTCAGGAGGAGTGCCATTCCCTATTCAGGCACCTTAAAGGTGACCACTTCCATGCCAAGAACCCGAGAGTAGAATGCTGCTGTGTCTTCAGTGCTTTTCACAGTCATCACCAGGTGATCCAGGCCTTGGATGCAGCCCCATGGTGGTGCCACATCATTCTCCTTCCAAGACATTGCCTGAGATCCAAGAACCTGAAAAGGCACAAGGAGGAAGCCTCTTTGGAGAACTGTGATTACAGAACAATGGATCAAGAGTGTATACAGCTACACCATCCAAAGGCAAGGTACAAAATTCAAGGAAATAGGTCTTCATTAAAAACAACAACAACAACAAAAGCAGGTTTCTAGACCCATTCAAGACTGCAAAAGCAGCTTTGGAATTGTGGAAATCCCCAAAGAAATGAAGAACCTGGGACTCTTTCCACAGGTCACGGGGGTGAACGTCTGTGGCCTGTCCAGTTCTTTGGGCCATAGCCAACAGCAGATGCAGAATCAAATTGTCACCACATGTGCAAAGTTTCCAGGTCACAGAATTCACGTTAAACATATGGAAACTGTGAGGGAGGCGGCTTTTTTGGCAGAAAGCACTGGGGTCTGGAAAAGGAATAGGGCTGTCAGCTCTATCTTGGGAGCTTCCTGGAGATTTTGGGGCGGTGCCTGGGGAATGCAGGGTTTTGTGATGGGAGGGAGATCAGCTGGCATATGATGCCATGGAGTCCAGGCTCTGAAGCTGCCCTTCCCTCCAGGGGAACTGATCTCTGTAGTCCAGAGATCAGATGTAATTCCAGGAGACATCTAATTCCACAGGCTTCACTTGGAGGTTGGTAAGTCTACCCCCCTTTGCCTGCTCATTTTCAATTCACTCCTAAGGTTACAAATATGCAGTCCTCAGGCTGCACCCAGGGCTGCCTTTGCTTTCCGAGCCACGCCTCTTTTGAGGAACTGCCATTGCTTGGGACGTTTGCCCTCTGCCCACCTTGGATTTGACACTGCGCACAGTTGTTTCCCGCAGCCCTCCTCCTCCCTTCTAGCAGATCTTGGTATAGATTGCTCCCCAAACCAAAAGTTGGCGAGTGGCATGTGAGCGAATACCTCCAAAGGCAGGCAGGAAACTCTGTGCAGCTGTTTGGGTGTCAGGAACCGAAGGCTTCTCCGGCTCAGCATTTCCTGGACTGAAGGTGGAGTCTTGGGCAAGTTTGTTTGACACTACAGCACACAAACCCCTCCCAGAGTAACCAGGCTTAGCTGTGTTACACCTCTCTGGATAGCAGACATTTGCCAAGCCTTATGTCAGCCGGGACACAGTAATGACTGATTGTGACTGAAGAAGGGCCCTTCCTGTGGGAAAACGGAGCCCCCTTCTGAGTCCCGGAACAGAAGGTATGTTTTTCTGACCTATCCGGGAGGAGAACTACTTCAGGAATATTCATAGCCACAAGGTCACTTGCAAATAGCTCCTACATTTTCAAGTGCTTCACACAGCAGAATCAATACGGAACACCTGAAATAGCAAAACTGGACACGATCAGGGGCGGGGGCTGGGCAATGGCAAAAGCTCCTGCGCGGAGGACACCGGGGTGGCATAGCTGAGCCAGGAAACATGAGCTGCTGTGTGCAGAAAGTCCAGCTGCCACCGGGACACGGAGTGTGCTCTTCTAGCATGAGCCAATGAGCCTTGGTGCTGTGTCACAGCAGGGCGCGACCGCTGCAAAGCATCTTCGAGCCTCCAGCACCAGCTGCTGTGTCTCCTCAGCAAGTCTCACTGACATGAATGGAAGAAGGAGATTCCACCCCAGTGAGCCCAAGGCAATTACGGATGGCTGGGGTAGTCATGAGCCCAAATGGAGCCGTCCTACCCAAACTGCTGTGGCAGACAGTAACTGACTGTGTGAGAGCCAGTTTGGTGTAGTGGTTAAGTGTGCAGACTCTACTCTGGGAGAACCAGGTTTGATTCCCCACTCCTCCACTTGCACCTGGCTGGATGACCTTGGGCAAGCCATAGTTCTGACAAGAGCTGTTCTTGAGAAAGAACAGTTTCTGTCAAGAGCTCTCTCAGCCCCACCTACCTCACATGGTGTCTGTTGTGGGGAGGGGAAGGGAAAGGAGTTTGTAAGCCGCTCTGAGACACCTTTGGGTAGTGAAGGGCGGGGTATAAATCCAATCTCCTCCTCCTCCTCCTCCTCCTCCTCCTCCTCCTTCTTCTTCTTCTTCTTCTTCTTCTTCTTCTTCTTCTTCTTCTTCTTCTTCTTCTTCTTCTTCTTCTTCTTCTTGTGTACATATTTGTAATACGTTACAAACATCCCTCACTTGTGCTGCTAAGACTGGCTCATATTTCCTGGCTCAGCTTAAAACCTTCAGCCATCACCCCTAATTAGAGATGGGGTGAAAACTGAGAGGAGCACATTCTATTTCTCAAACTTTTATAGGACTCTTCTTCCATTTTGGTTTCTAACAGAAAAACTGGAAATGCCATTTATAAAAGATTTTCTCCCTTGGAATGGGATCAATGCAATCCATCCTGCACAGCCCTGTGGTTGCTCTTAAACATGAAATGTCAGTTTCTGGCCTTCTGCAGAAGCCTGCTAATTTTTCTGAGCTCTTTACAAATATGAATGTCTCAGGTTTGGGGATAAGGTTGATTGTATGGAGAGAATGCTGTTTGGAAGTCCAGACAATGAAAACTTCACTTTGTTGACTGCAATGTTGACACTTGCTATTTTCAACTCTTATTTTATTTTTCTTGTTTTCCATGCTGGTGAAATCTAAGATGTACTTAGGTGATAAAGGAGTTATTTCAGTCCTCCTTATTTCAGTAGACAGTGCTAAATCAATACATGTAAGTTTCCCCAGCAGGCAAAGAGCAGGTCCCTGGGGCCATTTCAGGTCTAAAAAATAGAGGGGAAATGCTTAAGCCCCTTCGCCCCACACACCATGATCCTGATCCAACCTGGGCCTGCACGTGCCTGGGAATTAAGTTCCGAGGCAGCACTGAACTCCTACAGTGTGTCTAGTTCACAGGATCCATGGGGAACCAAAGACTTTTTAGTGTGTGAATTGGTTCATAAGGATCAAACGTGTGCTGCTTCAACACTCAGTATATTTGGAATTGTTGTCTGAATAACACTCAGACATTTACATTTGTAAATTTTATAAATAGACCAAGTGCAGTTTTATGTACAAGGTTATACATAATGTAGTCTATGTTCTTAATATAGATTGGATAAGGAAACATGTACTGCTTATATTTCAGTTTTCCCAGCATTTCTATCCTTTCCCATGGGGGAAGAATATTTTTTCCTCCCATGGTGTCAACATTTCCAGAAATTTTATATTTTTGCTCCTGGTCACAGCCAGCCTGATTATGTGAAGCAATTGCAAAGAAGATAAAGATCCAGAGAGAAGCAAACCGGACAAATTGAATTGGGGATCAAATACTAAGAAGTGGTGCCAAGGAGAAGAAAGATGGCTTCCTCCTGCCCTGCAAAAACCATTCAGGGAGCTTAAATCAGCCGTGGCACAAACACTCTGCTCCTGCCATTTGGGTTGAGACAGTAAAGGAGAAATGCTGCTCGCTTTGCGCATCCAATTCCCTCCCTCCTGCCTCTCGGTATTGCTGCCATCATGGGCCGTCAATTTGAGCAAGGACAAGAGAATAGGTCAAAGACGTGCCTGTGCTACTCATAAGCCCTAAAATTGTTCCACCCTTCATTGGTGCAATAGAGAAAGGAGATACTTAAGATAAAAGGGCAGTGAATTTTGATCAGAGAAAAGATAATTCTTCAGGCAGCAGAATGTCAACTCAAAGAATTCATTGCTGCAGAAGACAAAGGACCAGACAAGGTTGTCGCACCAGGATCCGTGTGCAGCTCCTTTCCCACAGTCAGCTGCAAGAAGAATCGCATGGCTTCTACGTAGCACTAAATATAGTGCTATACTCCCCATGAACCCCACTCCCCAAAATGCACATCACCATGGGCAAAGTCCTATTATATATTTACTCATAAGTCCCATTCGCCAAAGGTGCTGCTTCTCCCTGCAGTTTTCCTTTTGTTCAAAACTTTATTTGTTATGACCTGCGGCTACATCCTGAATCAGTGGCTGTCATTTTTATGTTTTGGGGTTGGGGGCAGCAGTTTAAACACTTATTTTTTCTTTGCAAACAAATTGACTTTACTTTTCTATTAAATAATTTTGTAATAGCGCTATAATAATCTTCAAAAATAAATGGAGAATAGCTTTGGCTGCAAAGCGAAAAACAGCAAATGCTTATCTCCCTTCCCCCCATCAAATCCTAAAGAACTGATAAATAACAACTGATTCATGATTACCATGGCCAACTGGACAGAGAAAACAGGAAGTAATTAATTAATTAAACTGGAAGCAAAAGACAAGGAAAAAAGCCCAGTTTTTGTCTTGAAAAACAATCTAATCTGTTATTGACAAAACAGAGTCAAACTATATCATATCACTATGCAACCCTGAAATATTTCAATTTTTTTCCACTTTAACCCTTGTCCTCTGATGGGTTTAAAATAATTGTAACTCCAGGCTGTCCAATGTGGACAGTCCCAATGCTCTTGCATTTTCTCAGGGGCTCTCTTTGCATTTTGTTTTAAGGGTGCAGCCTGGCCCCAGTGTCTGCCTGTGTGATTGTCCTGGGAGCACCTCACTTTGAAGTGGCTGGCACAAGAACCAGGCTTTAAACCAGGAAGCACCATATGTCCCCTTGAAGGGGAGGGCCCCCTGAACATGGGGGTGTATGACATGTGGTGGTCCAAGCCTATTTTGGGGTGTATAAGTCAAGCAGTCAAACCAGTTCCTTATTCAAATCTCCTTTCAAATACAGGCCTGTTGGTGGTTGTCCAAATAGAAGCCTGTGGCGCCAGAACCAGTCTTTGGACCAGGCACCAGTGTATGTCTTCTTGCAGGGGACATGGGGAAGTGTCATTTGGGCTGGTCCAAATATTGTTTTGGGGTGCAGCCAGGCCCCAGTGTCTGCCTGTGTGATTTTCCTGGGGGCACCTGGCTTTGGAGCAACTGTAGGGCTGCCAAGTGGGGGCGGGTAAACCCCCGATTTCCAACGCCGCAGAATCGGGCCCCGGGGGGAACCCCACCCCTGCGTGCATGTCACCAGGAAGTGACGTGGACACACTGCGCATGCTGGGGGCAGGGCCACG